GTTAGGGCTTGCTAGCGCTCTAGTACGCTATATAGTAGGTACCTGGGGTGTTAGGTTTGCTAGCGCTCTAGTACCCTATATAGTAGGTACCTGGGGTGTTAGCGCTTGCTAGCGCTCTAGTACCCTATATATATAGTAGGTACCTGGGGTGTTAGGGCTTGCTAGCGCTCTAGTACCCTATACAGTAGGTACCTGGGGTGTTAGGGCTTGCTAGCAGTTTGTTTTCGTTGGGCTTTGGAATTTTGCCATTGGCACTCTGGAGCCCCACTGGACCAAGTTTGTGTCGGACATCACCGGACAGCTTCAACTCACAACCCTTTCCGCATCACCCACGATGCGCACCCGACCCCCAATTTTGTCAGGGTCCAAAAGATCGGAGGACGAGTGATTTAATGATCCTGAATAACCAGAAACGATATTCCTCTTATACTCCCCTTTAATAATCAAAAAAGAATGCGACGGCCCTTCTTCTTGGCCCTAATTATTCTAATGCAAGGCCTCGGCCGGCCTCGGTTCAGGATTTCAGCGTTTGAGGCGCCAAGGTTTAGGGTATGTTAGGCTTCCGGGCCTAAAGGTGTTTAGGACTGTAGGGTTGGGCTTCTGGAACCGTTCAGGGTTTGGGATATGTTGGAATACTACAGTATGATATGGCAGGCTTTAGTGTACCATTTTGAACAATATATTATATATCATATCGTAGACTCTAGTATACTTCAGTACAATCTGCCGCAACCAGGCCGACGTCGGGATTCGGTGGCAGTTGCTATTCTGTTCTCTCAACATTCGCAGACACGCGGCGATAAACCCCAAACCCTAAACCCGCTTTAGGGTTCATAGGGTTGAGGGTCTAGGATCCTGCAAGAAAGCACAGGAGCAGTAGTCATCATCAACCTCGGAATAAATGGGCATCGCAGTTCAGAGCCACCATAGAAATTCTCCAAAAGGTGGATCGCCTGAGATCCTCCCCCCTTCCTGTCCGGGAGGTGGGATCAACCAGCTTACACCGAGCCATCGTCGATCTCTTAAACGGGAGCCTGGGCATACTGCAGAGCTAAGTTGTCGAAGGTGTTGACATCACATTGTGGAGATTATTACAGGCGGAGCGAACTGTCATTTTGAAGTAAGTGGTAGTACTGACACTATCAGCCATGACTATGGCTCTGATATTGGCTTCATTGGCCCTTACACCTGGACTGCGCACTTAGCCAAGCTGGCATTGCACATCTAGGATCTAGAGTTCGGGGGGCCAGAATGTTTAGGGTCGAGGACGCACTGCTCTAATCCTGCATTGTGCTGCTCTTCGCCTGCCATTTGGCTGTATCCCCGCGGTAGATGGGTTGAATGTCTTGTAGTTTGTGATGCGAGAATGAGCTCAGTGTGCCAGCCTTGCCAGCAATGGCAGGGCGTCATGGCATCTATTTGTAATGCTGATGTCGCCCGCTTCGAAGAGAAGGAGATGATTTCCGAAGTCTTATCCCCAGAGTACAATGAACAGCAGCCTGCAGGCTTCACGAATGCATGCGCCCGGGCTACTGGTAGCAGCAGTCAGGTTTACGAGATGCAGACGCAGCCTGTCCTACCCCCTTCGAAGTCCCCAGAGAGCCGGGATATGCCGAAAGCTCCTGCTAGGCCAAGCGATGAAAAAGTGCAGGAGTTCGTCAGACAGTTTCAGCAGGTGGAATCCAGACAAGTTTCCTCAAAGGAGGCTCTGGAACAGATCTCCACCTTGGTGGAGGTCACTGTCGATATGTTTGGCACTCTAAACGGCGCTCTGAATCAAATGAAGACGGACATCGGACATTTACATGCCAATCTATCTTCGTTGGAGACAAAGGTGAGCCAGACATCTGTTCCAAGTACCTTGCCACATCCGGCGTCTCAGGTTACAGAGAAGCCGGCAGGTGATGATGTTGTGGAGACCTTGGGCAAGGAAGTCAGCCTGGAAGCTTGCTTTGGGGATGAACCCGTGCAATCCTTGCAGCTGTCTTTCACCAGTGAGCCTACCTTTGCTTCGACAACACCCGATAGTGATCGGCAATCCGAGCTGACATCCCTGGATGTATCCAAGATCAGTGGCAGAAGTTCAACGGAGGGGCCCCCCTCTCAGCCACATGCCAACGAAGCCCTGGTGTCTTTGATCAATGTTGCCTTGAAGCACCCTGATCTCTCGGGCGCCCCTTTGCTTCGCCAGTGGCAATTCCAGCAACAGAGGGTAGCGGCTTCCAAGAAGTTCAACTTGCTTGGGGTTTATTTAGATGGTTCCAGGCATGGGGTTCTCAGGCAGTCTTCAGGGCCTTCACCAGCATGTTCCATTGCGGCCAGGTGAAGTCTCAGCGAGAGCTGAATGTGGACCTTGTTGCCAACAAGTCCGTGCTTGCCGTACAGAATCAGCAATTTGCTGCACTGGTTCGCGTGGCCATGCATCATGGGTCGCTGGAGGGCCGTGACCTACTGCACCAGTTTGAGTCAGAGCTGCACTTCGAGGTGCGAGTTTGGTTTCGAGTCGGGTTGTGGAAGAGGGACTCTTTGGGAGCGTGGTCACGTCGCTACATCCTAGTTGTGCTTTGACTGCTGGTTCCAGTGAGTGTAGTATGATCGCTGTACTTCCAAATAGCCCTAAGCCTTTTATGTCTTAAGCTTTAAGCACTTCATAATTCTTAATAAACCCTGACCCCTAGCCTGACCCATTTCATGGCAGTCGTCGCTACCGTACATATCTCCTCAGACCTGCAATCCCGAATTCCTAACCCCGATAGTTCGCTAGCGTAAACGCATTTCAAAAGGTTCTTATGGGTTACGGAGTTTGTGAATTTGCGCGCTTCTTCTAGGCTTCTTATTACCCCGGACCCTAAACTCTGACCCCTGCACCCCCAAACCCCTTGCATCCCGAAGCTCGCGATCCCTAAACCCTACCTTAAGAACCCAAAACCTATTTTTTGTAGGGTCCCTACAAATCCCATACTAGGGTTTATAATAAGAACCTACCAAAAAAGTGGGTTTGGGGTTCTTAAGGTATACCCTATAACCCTAAAATCTCCTAAACCCTATAACCCTTTAAACACCTAAACCTCAACCCCACAAAGCCGTATACCCAATTAAAAATCCTATTTTTAAGCCTGAAGCCTCAAAGCCCAAAGGCCAAACCTCAGACCCTAAACCCTAAAACCCCCTACAAAACGGGATCCACGACGTGAGGAGGAGAGGCAATCCGAGGGACGGGCCGGTCCGAGTCGGAGCAGCGATGTGTCCATCTCCCTCCATAAGCAGCTCCTGGGTTCTCAAGGGTTTAGGGTTTAGGGTTTAGTCCTTTCATAAGCAGCTCCTGGGTTGTGAAGGGTTTAGGGTTTTGGGAGTTTAGGGAGGTTAGGGCTTATGGTCTATTTTGGGTTTAGGGAGTTTAGGGCTTGTGGTTTAGGGTTT